CCTCTGGGGGTTGGGTCAGGGAGCTTCATGCTCTCCTTTGGCGCAGGGGTTTCTGCTCTTTTGGCCCTGGTGGTAGGTTTGTTCGGTTGCAGCCGTCTCCTTCAGCCGGCACAATCAGAGAACACTGTATAAACATCAGAGGTCCACGGTTGTTCAACATCCTCCCAGCAAGCATAAGAAATATTGCCGGAACAACTGTTGACGTCTTCAAGGGAAAACTGGATAGTTTTCTCCAAGAAGTGCGGGACCAACTGGGCTGTGGTGGGTATGTGGGCCTGCGGGCCGCTCCAAGCAACAGCCTGGTGAACCAAACTCTCAAAAGTCAAGCCTGGCCTCAGGCCGGGCTTTGGGAGTAGAACTCCAAGAACCCCATCAAGCAGGTATCCTTCTTTTCTGGTGAAGTATGAGACTGCTGCTTTCCAGACGGGTCCTTGGGTTGTTAATGGTTGGTCGGGCTGTGGATGCATCATGTGTTGTGTCCGGTTGAGGCTCTCCGCCATTATTTGCGTGCCACGGTTTTGGTGGCCGTGGATGCGCTTTGGGTTGACCCTGTTTCCCTTCTTCCCTGTTCCTGGGCTCGGGTCTCCCAGCTGGGTCTTTATGTCATAAAGGTTATTAAGTCTAGCCATCCTGCGGTCTGTCCTTGTGCCCATGACATTCGTAAGTTTGCTGCTTTGGCTGCTGTCATTGGCAACATGTCTTGGGTTGTCATTCGGGCACAGGGTTTTTTGAGGTTGAAGGGGGGGGGGGGGTCCTGGCTGCTCACTACCTTGTCAATGTCCCTGGGCCAGGTAGGGCCTGCATTGCATTGGGTCAGTGGTTGCAGCCAGTTGTCTCGACTTCACATTGAGGAGTGAGGACTGTCCGCCGCCTGGGTAAGTCCCTGTTTTTCCTTCCATGTCTTTGGGTAGTTAGCTTTGGGAAGTCGACAGGGCTGCCCCCAGAAAACCAGCTTTGAATGTAATGAAATGCCATTTTCTGGGTGAGTCCCGGAGGCTCCCCGGCATCCCTCCCTCCTGTCGGCGGTATTTTTCGCATGTTTTTGACATCCAGCTTAAAAATTGTTGGTTAGATCGTTGGCACGAGGGTCTGAGGCTCCCACTTTCCCCTCCCGGGGAAGGGGGGGTTGCGCAGATAGCAGTGCAGCAACGTGATGACGTCATGCTCATTTGCTTCTTATCGTCTGGGTAGTTCTGTTCACTCATTCAGCTTTTGGTAGCAATATTTTCACCAGAATAGGGATTTGTTTTGGAGCACCTACCTTTCTGAGTGCCAGACCCGTTCGATGGCAGACACAGAATGCTCCCAACCACACGAGGGTTTCTATAGGCCATTGCTCCTTGTGCCTCATCTGAGGAGGCGGTTTGAGCTCTGTCCACCGGCCTCTGGTGGCATTGGGCAGCTCCTTTTCCTTTGGGAGGTTTGAGACTGGTAGGGCAGTCTACTTTCCCTTCGCTCCGTCAGGTCATCTTGTTCCAGTCCCGCAGCGGGACAGTGTTTCTGTTCGGTTCATTCTGTCCTGTATGTACCTCTGGCTTTTGGATGACTGTCCCATTTCCGGTTCTTTTGGGATCGGTTTGTTGGGTAGTGTGTCTGGTCCTTCGGGCCACATGTTGGCATGTCCTTATTCATCTGGCATTCAGGGACTGGTTCGGTTTTGTGGTGGGCTGGTGTGCTTCTCGTCTTCCTTGCCTTTCCTGTGGCCCTCTTTTGACAACTCGCATTTTCTGTGTATAACTTGGTTCTTGGTAGTCTACCATTTTCTACTGGGTTTTTGGGTGATGGCCCACCTCAATGGCTGGTTGGTGTGGGCTCCCAGCCAGTCTGCTTGTCTGCTAGCCGGAGGGGTGGTTCTTTCTCGGTTCGCCGGGTTTGGGTTCCTGGTGCACTGGAGGAAGTCCAAGTTGGTTCCATCCCGGCTTCAGCCCTGGCTGGGCCTTGTGTGGGACTCTCCACACAACTCGGATCACTACTTTGTTCCTCCGGAGGCGTTGCTGCAGTCCCACCTTCGGCTGTTTGGGGGGGGGGGATCCCGGGTCATTCGGCGGTTGCTCGAGCTGTTGAGTGGGAGTCTGAACTTCGCCTTGCTGGTTTACCTCCGAGTTCGGTTTGGCTTTGGCATCTGTTCTGGTTCCTTATTGGGGACACTCCTTCTGCCTCTCTCACAATCAGCTGGGTTCGGCCTCCGTGAGCCTTGCGTCAGCTATTGCGTTCCCAGCTTCTTCCTGGGGGTTTTCGAGGTTCAGTGTCTTGGCGCCTACCCAAAGCCCTCGCTCGATGTATTCACAGGTGCATTGTCTCTCGGCTGGGGTTTTGTGACCAGGGCTCACCAGGCCAGCTAGCGGGGGTAAGGTCTGTCCGTCGGGCTCACAGCACGGTGTGAGAGTTCGTAGCGGTCTGGCTGTAGCTTAGGAATTTTCTCCAGTGGTTCATTGACTGAACCACAGGGATTCTCTTTGGTCCTTACCTCTTTAGGTCTGGTCACTTCGAGTAGCTCGTCTGCTGGTTTCTCGGGGTTTGGCTCTCCATGCAGTTCATAACTGGGGTGTGTCCAGTGTCCTGGTGGACGACTCGTCTCGGTTCATTCCCCTGTCCACGGAATGGACGGTCGACACTGACTCCTTCAGTTGGCTCTGCCGGATGTACGGGCTCCCGGAGGTGGACCTCTTCGCGTCGGCATGGTCTCAGCGTTTCCCGATATATGTGGTGCCCTTCCCTGACTGCGGAGCGTTTTCGGGGAAAGGCGGGTCACCTCGACCTATCCCGCCTTTCAGCGGGACAGGTCGAAGTGGGGTTACCTGTACATCTCCTACCGGTCCCGCTTTTGCTTCCGGATTCTAGCACTGTTGGAGTCTTACCATGGGAGAGTCATCCTAGTGGCCCCTTAGTGGCCGGCCCAGCCTTGGTTTCAGGTGCTGCTTTCTTTGTGTTCTTTCTGCCATTCTCTCTCTTCGTAGGTTGTCTTCTATTTCTGATAGGGTTATCTTGTCCTTTCTTTCTTAGCTTTTTCAGTACCATCATTTGATGCCAAATACTGTCGCCTCGTGTTGTGTGGCACTGGCGGAGCCGCTCCAGCTTACATTCTGGGTGGATGTCACTTCTGCCTCGTTCTGTAAGCTTTCTCGTGCTTGCTTTGTTTCACCTCCGGCCAGCTCATGTGCCGCCTGAACCATCCTTGTCCTTCTTCTTCTTCTTGAGGTTATCTTGAGATGATTTCGGGGCTTTAGTGTCCCCGCAGCCCGGTCCTCGACCAGGCCTCCACTCCCAGGAAGCAGCCTGTGACAGCTGACTAACACCCAGGTACCTATTTTACTGCTAGGTAACAGGGGCATAGGGTGAAAAAACTCAAGGACGGGGTGCTCTCCCATCTCTCTCCCCCTCGGTTCATGGTGGCCCTTTCGGTTCAAGATTGTTTTTCCAAGGCTCTATTTCTGTTGGCATTGTCCTCTGAGAGTGGGGTTGGTAAGCTTTGTGCTCTCCTCCGGCATAGGGGTTTCTGCTCCTTTGATCCTGGAAGGTCCTGGCCAGGGATGCGCTTTGGGTTGATCCGGTTTTCTTCGTTTCCTGTTCCAGGGCTCGAGTCTCCCAGGTCTTCCGCTGGGTTACTAAATCTAGCCAGCCTACAGGTTATCCTTGTGCCCATGATATTCGTATGTTTGCTGTGTTGACTGCCGTCTTCGGCAATATGTTTTGGGTTGAAATTCGTTTGTGGGGATTTGGAGGTCGAACAGGGTCCAGGTCACCCGTTATTTGTTCGACGTTTCTGGTCCAGCTCGTTATTGTGGCACTTTGGGTCACATTTTGCAGCCCAATTGTCTCGACTTCAAGTTGACAAATCCGTGGCAGCCGCCTCCCGGGTAGGTCCCTCTTTTACTTATCTTTGGTTATGTAGCTCCAGGGAAGCCAAAGGGGCTCCCCACAGAAAACCAGCTTTGAATGTAACGAAATGCCAATTTCCAGGGTTAGCCCCAGAGGCTCCCTGGTATCCTCGATCCCTCCATGTGGCGGAGGGAGTTTCTCTTTTTTCTTTTTCCTTTTTGCTTTTGATGCTTAGCCTCCGAACTTAGGTTGGGTAGCCAGCGCAGTGGGTCCGGGAGGAAGGGGAGAGGCCGTGGACGAGCGGCATGGCAGCATGGTGTGACGTTTACTTGTTTCCTTGGGAATTGAGAGAGTTCTGCCTCTCTGTTCGGTTTTCGGTTGCAATTTCTTACCATGTGGGATCTGTTTTGTTATGCCTACCTTTCTGGGTACCTAACCCCGGTCGATAGCACATAAGAAAACCCTCCAACCACAGGGGAAGGTTTTCCAGGGCCATTGCTCCCTGTGCCTCTGAGGGGGCCAGGTTCTGATTCGTGGTCCCTGGTAGGCTGAACTCCATTGACTAAAGCCTGTGACTAAATGTATTGCATATTAACCCGATAGCTCCAGGAACCCTCCAGGGCTTTCCCAGAAAATGGCATTTCATTAAATTCAATGCTGGTGTTTTCTCCATTTGGGCCGGGATAAACTTGTCCACAGCTTCCTGCCACTTCTGGGTGACATATTCCATCATATGTTGTACAGACTTTACTCTTGAGTTCTGTTTCCCATGGTCATTAGGAAGTTCCTCATCTCATCATAGTTTCCTCTTTGGTAAGCCAGTCTTTTCTCTTTTGATCCCTTCCTTGGATAGGTTATCCCTATTTCCACCAGATACTCATATTTCAGTACGCTCTGGTCACTCATTCCCACAGGGGCTTCTAGTTTGACTTCCCTTATGTCTGACTCATTCAAGATGAATATCAGGTCGAGTCTTAGCTGGTTCATCATTGCCTCTCATTCTTGTGGGTCCCTTGACATGTTGGCTCAGAAAGTTTCTTGTTGCTACATCCAATAGTTTAGCTCTCCATGTGGTTCCCCATTCTCCCAGTCTATCTTCCCGTGGTTGTATAATGGGTAATTAACACCTGATACAGTATAACTATTAATGTTTAATCATATTTTGTTTTTCCTTTTGGCAGGTCAAGGAAGAAAAATATAAGTGAAATAGTATGACTATGGCAGAAGTGGTCTCTTTTGTAGATGTCACAGCAAAAGAAATTATAGAGAAGTCCACATACGAGCAGCTCAAGGTACGTAATAACAAATACTCTGCAATAATGTTAATTTCTGCAAAGTAAATGCAATAGAATAGTGTACATATATCCTGAAAAACTGCAATATAATGAAATTTGTGATTAACTTTGCACTATAAAATATAATTAGCTTAACATTTTATATTATGATAAGAACTCATTTTGAGTTATTCCATCCGGTTTTTCCCAAAGGCTTGAACCTCCTGGTCCCCAAGGGACCTCTGCTTATCCGTGGCAAGTCTTTCAAACTGTCCCGACTTGGTCTTAATGGTACAATGGAGACACTGGAGAATACTCTCTTCATCCTGGAACGACTGCCAGAAAGCCCGTATAAAAAACTAAAATCTCTTCAAAGTGCAATTGGCTTCACGTAGACCACAGATAAGTGCTATCACAAATTTCCGATTGCTCTACAAGATCAGTATGCCTGACTTCCACCAGATAATAGAACCTGATATAGTATCTGACTGGAGCAATTTCACAATATAGTGTGGAATTGCCCCAGGCTCCCCTTGAATGGGGGGGCCCACCCCCACCCATGTTATGGGGAACTTGACTGACCCCCCCACATGCTCATTCTGGGGTAGATAAGTGACCAGAATTGGTATTTTGCTTGGAAACTTGATTCATCGGTTCCACTTCTCCCCCTCTCCCACTTTCGCAGTTCCGCAGCCGTTTCCAGGCCTTGGACCCCGACACCTCCACCACCTCACCTTTAGCTCCTCTGTATTCTGGAACTGAGGGTCTTCCTCCTGGTTCCCCACCTGGTGTTTCCTCCCTTCCCAGTCTCCTGTCTCCTGTCTCCTGACGTCTAATTCTTTTATTTTGTTTTGGAAGGCGAGTGCAGTGGCCCATTAGGGCCAGCTGTACTAAGCACGAAAGTTGGAGATTTTGTGTCTCCACCATTACGAATGGCACTCCTCTTCCCCAGATCTTGAAGAAAATTAGTAATAGGGGTAAGTTTGTTCCAGATGTCTTGCCTATCCTTCACCTCTATGGTTCTGTTGTGGCAGATCCAGTGTTGGTCGTATCTGAAATGGATTCACCCTTTTCGACTATATGCTCTGGTTTTCATCTTTCTCCCTCTTTCCTTACTCGTTAGCCCATTCTTGAATCTAGTCACTTAGATTTTTGCATATACTGTATCTCCAGCTCCCCTATAACGATCCCTTCTTGCTCTCGGAACTCCAGTCTGCTTTTAATCCTCTGCAGTTCTACTGCTGTGGGCTCAGATGACATTCATTATGAGGTGCTTTGCAATATCCCTCCATGTGCATTTCAGTACTGTATTTACTGAATATTTATAATTGTAACTGGGAGTCGTTGTCAGTCCCCGAGGACTGGCTTAAGGAGGTTATTCTTCATATTTGGAAACCAGTTTCTTTAGACACATCTCTAAGGTCTTCTGCCCAATGTCCTTCTGTCAATGTCCGCGTGATGTGGTTCTTTAAAACACGTTATCACCACCTCTTCCCTTCTCAATTTGGCTTTTGCAAGTGTCGCAGCACGACTGATGTCTTAGTGAACTTGGAGGTCTACACTGTATTCGTACTGCCTTTGTTGCAAAGACCTCCATTGCTGCTGTCCTTTTTGACCTGGAAAAGGCTTATGACACCACTTGGATACCATATTCTGTCCCAGCTGTTCTTTTGGCCTTCGTGGTAATCTCTCTCTCTTCCTACAAAACTTCCTATTTAGTTATTACTTTAAAGTGAGGCCTGGTACCACTTTCTGTGCCTCTTTTCGGTAAACAAAAGTTTACCTCAAGGTAGTATTCTGAGCACTACTCTTCCTGGTTGCTCTCAATGGTCTTCTTTCCTTTCTTCTCTGTGGAATTTTCTCAGTTTTCTATGTTGATGATTTTACCCTCTGCTGTCGAGGTGATGAATTGGCTTTCCTCCAACGGCGGCTTCAGTTTGCGATTAATGCTATGTCATCCTGGGCCAACAATCTTGGCTTCAAGCTCTGTACAACTAAGATTTGTGCTGTGATATTTACTCGGAAGCAGGTCGTTCTTCATCCCCCTTTGTAGATCTATGGTGATCCTCTTTTGTATTAAGATTCTGTCAAAGATTCTTTAATCTTTAACACTTGTTTTTCTTGGTCACCCCATATCTCTTACCTCTAAGTTGAATGCTCTAAGGCCCTTAACTTAAGGGCTTGCCCCATACTTCTTGGGGAGCTGATAGATGCACACTCCTTTCTTTACATTCCTCTCTCGTGCTGGCTAAACTAGAGTATGGTTGTCCTGCTTACTTGTCTGCTGGTTCTCCTACTTTTTGCTGTCTTGATGCTCTGCACCATACTGGGTTATGCCTCAGCTCTGGTGCTTTTCATTCATCTCCTACTCTGAGCCTGTCTCTACAGGATCGTCGTGATCGCTACTGTCTTCACTACCTTGTGCTGTCCCTACAACACCCTCACTCTCGCTTATGTCCTGCTTTGACCGTTGCCCATCCCGTGGGCCCTGTTCCCTTTCATCACCTTATTTTTTCTCTACGATTATCTCGCTTGCAAGATTTTCTCTTGGTTCATGTTACCAATATTTCTCATGTCGTTCCAGTCTTGCCCCCATTAAGGGTCCCACTTTCAAAGTTTTGCAAAACCTTGACCTGCATGGCAAAGTCATCTAACCCCCCCCCCCTTCCCTACAGTTCTGAAACTTTTTTTTTCCTTGCAAAATTTTTCTTCACTCTCCTGCTCCATTGCTCTCTTCATTATGATATGGAAGAAAATGCAGAATAGAACCAGTGAAGAGCGGAGGTGCCATAGGCACAATCGGAGAACACTGTATAAACATCAGAGGTCCGTGGTTGTTCAACGTCCTCCCAGCGACTATAAGAAATATTGACGGAACAACTGTGGACATCTTTAAGAGAAAACTGGACTGTTTTCTAAGAGAATTTTCGGATCAGCTGGGCTGTGATGGGTATGTGGGCCTGCGGTCCGCTCCAAGCAACAGCCTGGTGGACCAAACTCTCACAAGTTGAGCCTGGCCTCGGGCCGGGCTTCGGGAGAAGAACTCCCAGAACCCCATCAACCAGGTATCAACCACAGATGGGTCCAAGTCTGCCAACGGTGTAGTATTCTCCATTGTATTTCCTGACTTTACCTACATATATTTTCCCTGCCCCTGAAAATTAACATTCTCATGGCAGAACTTTATGAAATTTTGTATGCTCTTCATTACTGTCAACATTCCTTTGTCATTGTAGTTGGCTCTCACAGTGCCCTCATGGCTCTGGAGTCATTTAATTCAGTCCATCCTGTGGTAGTCGAGATTCAACATTGGATGTTTATCTCCAGCAGATTTGAGACCGTGGAGTTTTGCTGGGCTCCCAGCCATATTGGTGAGTCCTTAAATGGGCATGCGGATGCTGCTGCTAAGGTTATCCACACTTGTAATATTTCGTGCAAAGGCATTCCTTATTTAAACTTCTGTCCAAGTGATTGGGCTCTGATCCTTTCCTCCCTTCCCATCCCAAATCCTTATCCTGATCCCTTCCCAAATGCTATATAATCATAATGGCTTAATACTTTCTCCTGATAGGTCCCTTCCCTTCTGTTACTGGTAACAAACTGCGTGCTCTGAAAGGTAGTGTGTCTCCATGGTCCTTCCTCCTACCATTGTAACCAGCGGTGGGAAAAGGCTCTGGTGAGGTTACGTATTGATCATACCCATTTAACTCATGGGGACTTAATATAGCGCCACCCTGCTCCTTATTGTCCAAACTGCATTGTCCCTCTTACGGTCGTGCATATCCTTGTTGACTGTCACGACTTCCAGGATGTGTGCTCGTCTTGCTTCCCAACTGTTCCTCACAATCATTTATCCCTTGATAGAATCATTGTTGAATCAGATACCTTTGATATTGCTCACCTTATGCGCTTTTGTTCTCGTATTGGCATCCTTAGTGATATTTAGCGCCTTTCTGAATATCCTGCTGCATAGTCTCCCTGGCATGGCGCCTTCTTTTGATAATTACTTTCTTTACGTCTATAAAAATCTTGAATTTTGTCATTTATGAACCAGTTTTCATGAATTTTACATACTGTATTATGTTCTTTGTACTGTATATAGATGATCACTTTAAAATAATATTTTTGTCGCCAGATTTTCAAAAGTGTAGTTTTCAGACAAAATGATGGCTCTCATTAAGCAAATTATTTTTCAGCAATTAAACATATTTACATAATATCCTCTTGCAGAATGTTACTGTATACTCTTCTGTTCGTCAATATTTTTAAAATCAGTTAGATTTTATGATCTTGTAATTTTTTAAAGTTGCCATTTTTCCCCCCTCCCCCAGTTTTCTTTTGGGTAACAGTGCTGAAAATTGGTCTGGAGATTCATTTAAAAGATTTTGTAAATAAAGTTTCATAAAAATCAAAAGTTTTTGAATGTTACCTATGAGATTGAATGTGATTATTGTCTTTTAGCCCTTGGGCTGGGGATCATCATATGTTGATTCACGGGGTAATACTGTTATTAATTGACAATTTAAACAATTATTGTCTACGTTTTTCACCGTTCCCAAGGTGGTGTACATGAGCTCCCTCACCATGACAAGGAAACACTATGGAGCAGGAGCCGGGCTCTGTAGTCCCCGCTACATTGGGCCCAGACCAAGCTGCTTCTCTGACTGTCCCGACTACCTCTCTCTACTTCCCTCCCACCTCTGTGGAAGGGTTGAGCCCCAAGCCCCCAGTGGTGACCACCTCATCACTTGGAGTGGCTCCATCACTTTTTGTAACAACTGGACCTTTTACCCCCCTCTCTTACTGGGGGTGCTTGGCGCCGTCGCTTCTGCAGTCGCAGGTGAATGAGGCCTTTCAGTTCTAATACTTTCCAAACTTTGTTTGGTCCCGTTACATGGAAAAAGTATTTTGATCTCAGTTATGTTAATTCTACACGTCCTGATAATTTATTCATTCATAAGCACCAAGTTGATTCGTTGGATACTTTATCACTTTTAACCCCACATGTACTGGTATATGTGTCATTGCAGCCCCTTCTCAGGAAGCGACTGCCCGTTTAGCCTCGTTGTCCTGCATTGGGGAGACCCCTGTTCGGATCTCCAAAAATGCCCGGTTAAATTGGTACCATCATTCTTCCACACCATGTTGTGACTGGTGATAGGGAACTGAAAGACTGACACCCACCCTACCTTCTCTCATGCACGTTTGCACTACAAAATTGAGGAAGTCATCCTCAATTTGAAACATCGTGATCATTTATCTTTTCCTGAGGCGAGATGCCAAGTACATTGTCTTCCCTCTTTCTTTGGCATGTCTTATGCTTGTGCGTTGCATTACACGACTTCTTGCCCTCTCCCACTCTCTTAGTTAAGCAACCGTTTCCAGGCCTTGGACCTGGACACTTCCACCACCACCTCATCAGCTACACACAGAAATCACAATTGCGTGATGCATCAAATGAACAAATCCACAAGGGCCGTGACGAGGATTCGAACCTGCGTCCGAGAGCATCCCAGACACTGCCTTAATCGACTGAGTTACGACATGGTGAAAAGGAGTTGAAACCGAAGTTCTACTGAACTTACTGGGTCCTGCAGCCTCTCCGAGGCACAAACCAGGGTTTTACACAACTCCCCCCATGCACTCGAGCTATGTCAATAGGCCGTTCTCCCTCTTCGCCCTTACTTCATTACACACAGAAATCACAATTGCATGATGCATCAAATGAACAAATCATTTGTTCATTTGATGTTTGTGCCTCGGAGAGGCTGCAGGATCGAGTAAGTTCAGTAGAACTTCAGTTTCAACTCCTTTTGACCATGTCGTAGCTCAGTCGATGAAGGCAGCATCTGGGATGCTCTCGGATGCAGGTTCGAATCCTCGTCACGACCCTTGTGGATTTGTTCACCTCATCTGCTCCTTTGTGTTCCGAGCCAGAGGGTCTTTCCGATGGTTTTCCATCTGGTGTTTCCTTCCTTCCCAGCCTTCCCTGTCTCCTGTACCCTCTTACCCTTCTCACACCAGTCCTTCTTCTCAGCCCTTCCCTCTGTCTTGGCCCTCTACACCGCCTGTTAGTCCAGGCTATTGTCCATCCTCCTCCCAGCCATCTTCATGTTAACTGCTCCCATTCTCCTTCTGTTGAGACTGTTGCCCAGTAGCAGTACCCGTGGTGTAGTAATAAGACACTCGCCTGGCATTTCGCGAGCGCTTTGTCCTGGGTTCGTATCCTGGCCGGGGAGGATTTACTGGGCGTCAATCCTTAACTGTAGCCTCTGTTTACCCAACAGTAAAATGGGTATCTGGTTGTTAAACGATTTGGCGGGGTCATATTCCGGAGAACATAGGATTAAGGACTTCTTTGAAACACTATCCGTGCTAGTGGCTGTACAAAAATGTAAGAACTCTTGTACTGGGGGATGGGTGTGTAGTTACAGGATGAGAGCTACGCTCGTGGTGTCCCGTCTTCCCAGCACTCTTTGTCATATAACGCTTTGAAACTACTGACAGTCTTGGCCTCCACCACCTTCTCACTTAACTTGTTCCAACCGTCTACCACTCTATTTGCGAAGGTGAATTTTCTTATATTTCTTCGGCATCTGTGTTTAGCTAGTTTAAATCTATGACCTCTTGTTCTTGAAGTTCCAGGTCTCGGGAAGTCTTCCCTGTCGATTTTATCAATTCCTGTTACTATTTTGTACGTAGTGATCATATCACCTCTTTTTCTTCTGTCTTCTAGTTTTGGCATATTTAATGCTTCTAACCTCTCCTCGTAGCTCTTGCCCTTCAGTTCTGGGAGCCACTTAGTAGCATGTCTTTGCACCTTTTCCAGTTTGTTGATGTGCTTCTTAAGATATGGGCACCACACAACAGCTGCATATTCTAGCTTTGGCCTAACAAAAGTCATGAACAATTTCTTTAGTATCTCGCCATCCATGTATTTAAATGCAATTCTGAAGTTAGAAAGCATTGCATAGGCTCCTTGCACAATATTCTTTATGTGGTCCTCAGGTGATAGTTTTCTATCTAGAACCACTCCTAGATCTCTTTCTTTATCAGAATTCTTTAAAGATTTCTCACATAATATATAGGTTGTGTGGGGTCTATGTTCTCCTATTCCACATTCCATAACATGACATTTATTAACATTAAATTCCATTTGCCAAGTGGTGCTCCATATACTTATTTTGTCCAGGTCTTCTTGAAGGGCATGACAGTCATCTAAATTTCTTATCCTTCCTATTATCTTAGCATCATCAGCAAACATGTTCATATAATTCTGTATACCAACTGGTAGATCATTTATGTAGACAATAAACATCACTGGTGCAAGAACTGAACCCTGTGGTACTCCACTTGTGACATTTCTCCATTCCGATACATTGCCTCTGATTACTGCCCTCATTTTTCTATCAGTCAGAAAATTTATCATCCATGATAGAAGCTTACCTGTCACCCCTCCAATATTTTCCAGTTTCCAGAATAACCTCTTATGTGGAACTCTGTCGAAAGCCTTTTTTAGGTCCAGATAGATGCAGTCAACCCAACCATCTCTTTCCTGTAATATCTCTGTGGCTCGATCATAGAAACTGAGTAAATTCGATACACAGGATCTTCCAGATCGAAAACCATACTGTCTGTCTGATATTATATCATTTCTCTCCAGGTGTTCTACCCATTTAGTTTTGATTAGTTTTTCCAATACTTTCACTATTACACTTGTCAATGATACAGGTCTATAATTGAGGGGGTCTTCCCTGCTGCCATTTTTGTAGATTGGAACTATGTTAGCCTGTTTCCACACGTCTGCTACGATTCCTGTACACAGGGATGCCTGAAAGATCAGGTGAATTGGAATGCTGAGCTCA